ACTTGAAGTGAAACTATCATCCAGGTATTGTGGAACACCCAATAAATAAGGAAAAACCCTGACACCATGCATCAAGTAATAGAAATTTCCACTGCAACATTAATACTAAGAGAATAAAAGTTCCTTCTTCTAGACAATTCCAGAGGGTGGTTGGGTACTGGAACAGGCTCCTCAGAGAAGTGGTCACAGCACCAAGCCTGTCTGAATTCAAGAAGCGTTTGGACAACACTCTTAGGCACATGGTGTGATTCTTGGGGTGCCCTGCACAGGAGCAGGATTTGGACTCAATGATCCTGATGAGTGCCTTCCAACTTGACATATTCCATGATCTATGAGTCACACTGACTCTTCATTAGTACTTTTTCATATATTTGTTAAGTACATAGCTATTGTGGGATGTAGTTTGCATGCTTTTTCAGTGAAGAGAGGAGATCCTAAGAACAGAATACACTGCTGCTGATTGACTATCTATTTTTGTTGTAGTACTTCCTTACTCTATTAGAATAATTTGAGTAGGTAAAGATTGAGTAATTTTGAAAATGGATATTGAGACTCCACTGCAAAGTGGATTTTGGATCGTATTGCAGAACATAATGAAGTTCAACCATTGCTGGTTTTGTTTTAGTTTTGGTAGGAAGCTTTTGTATAGCTGAAGTTGAAAACACACTTTCATCTACTCTTGCATATGAAAGTATAAATTATGCTTTCACGGTACTTAAAAGCATGTGTTTCTGGCAGCACCCTGGGTAGGTTTAAACAAGGTCACATTAAAGTTACACTGTTTCTATTTGAAACGTAACTATGAAATTTCTTCTTTCATGTGCTTAAACTGAAGCTCAAACAGTAAAGAGTCAAAAATTGACTGCCAATTCCTGTGCCAACCCATATTTTGGTTCAATGTTTTCTCTTCCTACATAATTTAGGACAGCCACATAATTTCACAAAACCTCTCTCAGTATTTTTTATCTGTATTGCAGTACTGCTTAGTGGCTTCATCTGCCAATTCTCCATGCAATGTCTTAACCATGAGATCACCCTGCCACTTAAACACGACACAATGCCCAGTATCTGCTGGAGTTAGTACTCAAGTGTTATGAGTCGGTTACAGCAGTAACCAATATTTTTAGTACATTATCTTAACTTGTTAGTTATCCCACCTTTTCTACCTATTTAAAGAACAGATCAGGTATGAAACATACCAAACAGTATTTTTACAGCAGTCCATCAGGGTCTAAGTATATATTGTAATATTTATTCCAGAAAAATGACTGAATAATGACACTGCAAGTGGGGCATCAGCTGCTAATGGGGGCATGCTATGTACAGCATTTTTTTTCTATGAAATGTAAATAAATAAATATGTGTCTGAATTAAAAGAAAGCCACAGTCTTTGCCATGAAAAGAAGATACATCACTATGCTCACTTGAACTCCTATTTTGTTCAAAAGGGCCCCATACAACTATAACTTCATGAGCAGACTCAATTTGCAGAAATTTGGGTGAAAAGACAATGTCTTCACGTGATCACCAAGGGTAGTAAACACTTCTTCTGAGCTTTGTGTATGGCTTGAGAAACGCATGGTGATCTGCAAGACAGAAGCCTTTACTTTCTTGCTATGAAGTTCACTTGATGGCTCCAAGAGGTCTAAACTCGATCCATGGAAGATGGGTTACAAGGAGCCTTTCTTGTGGGAGAGAAAGCCGAGGAAGTTCCAATAAAGCTTTTAGAAGAACTAGATATAAACCTGAGATCCCTACAAGCCTCTAAGGGTTGTTTCTTCCAAGATGTTGTGAAGTCATCTCCAATAACACAGGGTAACTTTCTAGTGTAACAGTTTTTTTTGAAATTTTTCTGTTTCGGGTAAAATTCAGTGAAAACGCCTATCACCATAATTTTTTTTTTTTTTTTTTTTTTTTTTTTTCTGCAGCACACATTTATATGTTTAGCAACCAAACAAACTGAAAGGAGCACTGAAAACCTTCCTTCTCAAATAAACAATTATAAAATGTAATTGGTGAGGGTATTACCCCATAGAAATGGTAACTTTAGTAACCACTGTTTCACCTAGTCATAATGTTTCTAATGCTGTAACATAGCTGACCCAGAAAGTCTCCTGCACTGGGACCACTGTAGGCATGCTGAAAAAGCTTCTCTCTGCAAGTGTTGCTAATCTGCAATGCTCAGCTAAACACTTTTCAATCATCTAGGCTAGATAACAGCCCTGAAATGAACCAGATGACAGAAGTATAAAAGCCTAAAATCTTGGGATGCCAATTATAATTTGCCAATACATGCCAGTTGGGAATCAATTCTGGAACCTATCTAGAGGTCCATCACCTGCCACAGGCTCCACGCTTGTAGCAGTAGTTCGTTGGAGCACAAGGTCTGTGCCCTTCTACGCTTCATCGTCTTTGGTTTACACCCTTAGTGACAAAGTGGGGTGGTTGTATTTTGCTTTGTTGGACTTTACCACTGCATCATTACCTACTAAGAGAAAGGAAAGGCTGCTGATGAGTAACATTTCACCGCTTTCTCACAGTCATAGGTGAAATAGATTTTTCTCTCCCACTGCTTTGTATAGAGTAAAAGAACCTACTTTTCACTACAGTAGCAGCAGAAAAAAGTTGTGGCTGACAAGGAAAGAGATCTGTAATGCAGAAATGAAGACTGTGATTCAGACACTAATTTCTCCCCCTTGTGAAGAAAGGTAATAAAAGTCAATAAAAGGATCCTGAGACAATGAGAAATATTGGAATGTTTTCATACTGTCAAAACACTCAATTCAGATATTCCTATTGATTTTACTATTCCATTTTTAATGTTGGTATTTTGGTTAACAGAAGTTTTCCCTTCAAGGATAAGGTGAGAGATTTCATTGAGACCAAGAATAATATCCAAATGACTTTTGTCTTCATGAGAAGGCTTTGATTGTGATTTTAATAATCTGGAACTTCCAAGCCTCTATCTCAAAGACTTCATACTTGCTGTTTGGGTGAGCTGTATGCCTCTAGTTATTTCTAATGGGCTACAGAGACTTTTCATCTACTAGCCATCAGGTTGAATCTTGAATCTAAGCCAAGAAAGGATTAAGTCAGCTAAGAAAGAATTTTTTTCTATGTAAGTAATATTCACTGCCTTCTATTTGAGATTAATTTAGATTGGTCTCCACCCCAGTTCCTACTAACAACTTGCTGCTCCCCTATATTGTGTAGCCTTTGCAGGACGGAGATTGCTTACCTGTGTGTTGGGCCTAATTAAACTCAGATGGAACCTTAGATGGGTCCCCAAATGACAGTTCCTGCAGAAAACATTGAGTTACTATGTATTCAAGTTTCCTTTATCAACATACTCAGATGCCTAGCATTCAGAGTTCCTTGAATGAAAGCCATTGTTCACTGCCAGTCACACCACTCAACAGAAAGTGTAAAATAATCTGTACAGCACAGAGGTAGCAGATGATGAGACTCACTGCATTGGCACTGCAAGGTGGCTGTGCACCTATTTCTGTCTGGGAAATCTTTGAGGCCAAACTGGTCTTCAGATATTTGTCAAAAATTATCATGCTGTTATCAGTGATGAACAGTGAGAAGACAGATCTTAAATTCCATATCAAAGCTCATTTGGTTACTTACAACAATAATAAGAAAAAAATCTGCTTCAGGATTTTTGAGAACTGCAGATTGCTAGCACTGGCTCTGAAACAGACCAGAATGCAGATCGCAGGAACGGAAACGGAGCTGGTCAGCAGTTTGTCTATTTGCTGCTGCGTGAGACAGCCACAGGAGACAACAAGCATTTCAGGACTGCCTGCAAATCTGCTTTCCTGTTGCTTGCAGCACAGCCAGCATCTCAACATTGCGTTTCATTGGGTGCCAGATATTTCAGTCTAGATGAGGCAGAGGCAATTCTGCAACTTCCATCATGTAATATTTAAAGCCTGATTAGGTGTTTCTCATTTAATCACATATATTATTAATTTCAATGAAATTACTGTTTCTCCCTGCGCCTTTAAACAGCCAGTGCATAAAAGTTGGGTTGCTAAGGCAGAATTATAGCCAAGTATTCCAGTTTAGCCGACTGCATTCTGATTACTTAATAATGCCCAAGTATGTGCAGAATTTGTCCTTGCTGTGCGCCACACGGAGTGCTGCGCTACTGAAAAAAACCTCAGAAACGGCTGCGCTGCATTGGCTTAAGCGCTTTCCTCAGCGTGGTTTATATTCCAGGTAGTTAAAGAAGTCCTCGGCGAATTAAAAACGCATGAGTTCTTGCTGTACCGCTCCACAGCGCTGCAGAGCAAGTCAGCAATGACTGCCCACAGCCTGCTCCGAGGAGCGTCATTTGCCATTCTAGCTGCGACTCGGTTGCCCCGCGGGACCGCTGGTGAGACCCGGCGAGACTCAGCCATGGGAAGGCGGCAACACCGCACCCGAAACCTCATCGGGACACAGAGCTGGGGGAAGGCACAGACGTTCCGCACCCGCTGGAGGGTCCGCGGGGCTGCGGGAGGAACCGGCGAGAGGCCGCGGCCGCGCCCGGCAGGTGCCCGCGGGCGCACTGCCGGGCCTCGGGCCTCACTTCTGGGAGCGACTGAGCTCCCCGGGCCCCGCCAGCGCCGCCGCTCCCCCGCGCTCTCCTTCTCCCTCCCTCCCCCCCCTCGCCGAGACACGGAGCCGGCGCCGCCCCAACCAGCCCCGGGCAGGTGCGCCCGGAGGCGGCCGCAGCCGGCGCCCCCCGACCCCGCCACCTCACCCCCTCGCGGGGCGGCTGCGGCGCGGGGCTCGCCCTCCCCTTCTGCCCTCCCCTCGCTGCGGGCCGCGCCGGTGGGCTTGGCTTGGCTTGCGGCTGCAGCGCGGGGCTCGGCGTGAGTCACGCAACCCGCGGCGCGGGGAGCCGAGCGCGCAGGCACACGGGGGAGGCGGCGGGGGCGGGCGGCGAGCGGGCGGGGGCGGCAGCACCGGCTCCCCGCCCGCCCACTCGCACATGCTGCCGAGCCGCAGTCAGCTGGAGCGCCGCTTCCTCCACAGCCGCCGCCGATGACCTCCTTGCCCGCCCGCAGCCGCTGAGGACCCCCCGGCGTCCCCGCCAGGGCAGGGGATGATAGATCGGCCGCCCGCAGCCCCGTCCAGCCCAGTCCGCCGCACCGCAGCGTCGGCCGCCGCCGCCCGCCTGAGCCGCAGCCCGAGAGGAGCCGCAAAATGAACCCCCAGTGCGCCCGCTGTGGCAAAGTGGTCTATCCCACCGAGAAAGTCAACTGCCTGGACAAGGTGCTGGGGCGCTGGCGGGCGGGGACGGCGCCTCCCGGGCGTGCCCGCCCCGCTCCTCGCGGCTCCGGCGGGGCGGGCAGGGCAGGGCAGGGCAGGGCCGGCGGGGCGTCGGGGCGAGCCGGCAGGTGGCAAACGCAGCGTCTCAGGGGCCGCCGCTGCGCCGACATCCGCGCTGCCCCCACCGACATCCGCGCTGCCCCCTCCGCGGGCGGCAGCCACCGTGTCACGGCGCTGGCGTGGGGCGAGCGGGGCCCGCAGCGGCCGGGAGCGCCCCTACTGTGCCCGCCCGGCAGTGACGGCGCCCAGGGCTGGCGGAGGACCCCGCGGTCCCCTGGCTCCCCGAGGGATGAAGTTGTAGGCGGCCCCCTGTAGTTGTCGGTGCCTCCCCGAGCTGGGGCGGCGGCAGCTGCCCCGCACACCGGGTCCGCCTCGGCGGGGCCGGGGGCCGGGGCAGCGAGGTGGCGGCAGCCACTGGGGGTGTCCCCAGTGATGCTCGTTACCGCCGAGCGTGGTCGCTCCGTAAATAAAAGCAGCGAGGCTGTGACAGATGCGCCAAATTAGCGTCCCCGGAAAGGCAAGGCAAGGCAAGGCGGTAGAAACCACCGGAGGAAAATGCCGTATTATGTGCTAAATTTAGTGTCTGTGTGGCGTACCAAAAAGCCAGCCGTCACATTAGTTAGTGATTTTATTCTCGTAGTATTGCATCCTGAACAAGCGGTGTAGTTTTTTGTTCTAACGAGGCAAAACGTCAAACTCCTGCTTCAGTTATCTTTAAAATAATCCTGGCAAGGTCAGCATGCGGAGGTATTGGCATTTACCTTACTAGAGAATTTACATTTCTGAGAGTGTTTCAGAAGTACCTTTGGCTTCATGTGAAAGTAATTATTTTGATTTAGTTAACAGAGACCTATGATGCATGGCCAAAATATTGGCATGTAATTGTGTTTTTACATTTACCATACCCTAACACAGCTTTCAAAACATCAGTACCATAAGTAATTCTACTTTACATTTATTTACAGTACTGGCATAAAGGATGTTTCCACTGTGAAGTTTGCAAAATGGCTCTGAACATGAATAACTACAAAGGATATGAAAAGAAACCTTATTGCAATGCGTAAGTATTGTAAATGTCAAGTCTTGCAGAAATGCACATGAAAAGAAAACCTGGCTGTGGATATTGTCAAGTAGGTATTGTCGTGCTGTAAAAACTTAATCTAGAGAGTGCCGTGCAGTCTAGAGCAGTTTAGGATCTTTTCAGATGGAGTATTCTACTTGTGATAGAAGATAAAAATATTTGATTGTGATGTGTTTAGGCAGTGCTTTAATATCTGATCTCAGGATACAGGTCCTTTCCTCCCAGAAAGTGTTGGATCTGGTGCTGACTCCTGTTACATTCGTTATTGGCACGCTGGATTACAGTTGTCCATTATGCTGCTCTCTATTCAGGGTTATGGACCTGATCAGCATTTTGTAATAAGAAAACAAAGTGCATGTCGCTTGTGTAGTTTACCAGAGACAGTATCGTGTTAGAGATCATGGCAGCCTATTTTTAAAACTGCTATGTTGTTCACATATCTTAGATTTGTAAGCTAGATATTTACAAAATCCTTGCTTCTGGTGCTTCATGCTGTTTTGTATTTTGCTAGTCTCTTGGATTTTAATAAAGAAAATAGAATAATTTTGGTTTGATTATACTCTAGTATAATCATATTGCATTCAACTTTTAGATTTTGTTGTTGTGTGGATTTTGAAGAGTGCTTTGATATTTGGCTTGAAAATACTGCAGAAGAGCATTTTGATACATGTAGAAAAAAGTTGCTTATTGTTCTTTGTACCATGCTCCTAAGATTTGCTAATTGCATTTCAGTATTAAGTTTTAATCTTTACAAACTGTTATAATATGCTTTTTTAGAAGGAAATTTCTCAAGATTTGGAATCAAGTTTGATCTTATATGTTATTTGTATATTGTTATTATTTTTGCCTTTACTTACTTAAAACATATTTTAAGAGACAGAGTTTTGAAGCTTATAGGCATGTTGTAATTTTTTTTTCAGAAATATTCTCCTCTACTCATCTTAAAATATTTGTTTGATGTTGAAGTAGACAGTCTACGACTGGCCATAACAGAAAAATTCACAGCATATGTTTATTTCTTCCAGGCTAAAACTGAAGCCAGTCAGTGTCGAAAATATGAGTTTTGTTATAAATCTGCTATGCTGCCAAAACTTGAAACACCTGTTTCAGTGTGCACAGTTGTACTTAGATTGCTTTAGAAGCATATGGAGTTACATACGTGCGTTTCTAGCTTTCCTTGAAGTGCTCTACGCAGTGGATGAGGGTGACATTAGACCTCTTGTAACAAAGTGTGGTCTGCTGCTGGTGTCACCTGCTGCAGAGAAAGCTGTGTAGGAAGGAAGAGTCCTGCTTCAACAGGTGATGTACTACAAGCTGAGACTAACCTTGAGTATTGGTCCTGGATGGGACTCTACTTGTGATACTAATTTAGTTGAAGTACAGGCTTACATCCTTTGCAGTGATTAAAACTCTGATAGGTTTCTTTTACCTATATTTTTGTGGTTAAATTTTGGTGATGATACTTTTGTTGCTTGATCTTTCCTATGTAATTAGATACTTACATAATAACACTGTATGTTTATGAAGTCTCCTCCATGCTAATGTGTTGGGGTTTCCATGCTCTGCATATTTAACTTGTGTTACAGGAGAGTTTTTCATATATGTAGTTATGGCATGTGGCGTGTCCTTCTCTTGGTGGATGAGGGGGAGTAAGGATGGTGCATGTCATGTACCATTCAGATGCTATTCTTCTGGAAGTTGCTTTAATGAGCTTTGTAATAGTGATCCTTGAAAAAATAATCTCTAGCCTTGAAATGTCTCTCAAACCTGATGTATGAAATGGGAAGAAACAATGTAAAACTATGAAAGAACTGGGATTTTGTGTCTTAAAGAAGAGACAAAATGTAACGTGTAATATCAACAATGTGCATAACATTGTTCTTAACTTTTAGTAAACTTAAGTTTGGTGGTTTTTTTCCCTCCCTCTTTTAAAGAGAAACTTTAATCATATAATCTAAATAATTTCAAGTATTCTGTGGAACCATGAAGGGAACACTAATGTGTGCTTTGTGGTTTCAATAACCTTTAATATTCTTTAAAGGAGGGATACTTTTGGAAAATGTATTTTGAAAATGCAGTTGATTTAAATTTTGACAAAGACCTCTTGCATCTCGAAAGTTACTAATTTGCAAGGCAGACACCATTACAGTATTTCAAATTATGATGTGTCTTATCCAGTTTTCATTAGTAAGAGGCAAATCCATTTTCATGTTAAATGCTGCTTGATCAGAAAATCTCTGAAGAAAAGAATGTAAATTTACTCATACAAACACCTACACTTGACAAAGAGCAATTACTGTTAAGCTGTTTATTGAGGCCATCCATCAATGAGAGTGTGATTTGTAGATAAAAGTGAAGAAGTATACACTAATTTGAATGGGAGAGGAATACCATGAAGTTGTTTAACAGTTTGAGAAGCTGTAGTTAGTTTCTTATAAGGACAAGTTTTACAGTTTTGCAGTTCAGCCAGGTGCTATGCATTGCCTGAAACAGGTAAAAGAGCCATTCTTTGTCTCTCTGAATATGCATAAAAGTAGTAAAAGAAAGGTTAAGACAATTAAAATGTCTTCGGTAATCTGATGATTTATCAAATCACAGTGGCTTTGATACGAATCTGACCCCCTCTTCCACTTTAGTATCTGCAGATAGAGATTATTAAATACTTGAATAATATATATGGAAATGATAAGAAGAAAAGTTGTTGATATTTATATTATTTGCAAAATCAGAGCTGATTCTTTCCAGCTGCAAATAACCAAGATGATGCAAGGAAAGGAATGGCATTTTGGCAACTAACCATCTGTGTACTAGTTCTCAAGCTTGTTAAATGATTGAATCATGTAGGATGATTATATGGTCACTTATTCTTGTGGATATTTATTTAAATGCTTTTCTGACAGATTCACTAGAGCAAAACACAAGACTACGTTTTATGCAAAATGTAGAAGCTGAAATGCATATTTCTGGAACGTGCTCTCTGCATTAGCTATACCTGCTGATGCAAACAGACTTCCTGCACGTGTGAACACATCCAACAGAGATGTACTTTTTAACTTCTAGGAAACCTATTAGTTTAAGCTTCTGCAGACCTGGTATACCCTATTGCCAAAGGCAAACAACGTCACTATTGCAATAAATTATTCTGAAATATTTAGTATCTAAAATTTTGCTAATTGCCCGCATACAGGGTAGCTTCATTCAAGTTTTTATTTATGATGTTCACCATATGGAATGATTACATAACTTAAAATTTAAATCTACTGTCATCAATCTTAGTGTGGATTATTGACATGAAGAAAAAAATCATCACCACTTTATTTTTTTCTAGATTTAATTTCTTTTTAAATTGTGCCAGTAGGAAATAGATATGCAAATACATTTGAAATATTGTGATGTTGTTAGAAGAATTGTACTACAGTTTCAATGTGCAAGTTCAGTCAAACTTTACATTTTAAGTTACTATAGGAGAAGGATAAAAACATCAAAGTTATTTTATACCAGCTTGGAAATGGTAAGAACATGGTACAGCTTTCTGGATAGTCAGATGCGCTGGAAAGTGGAAGTAGTTGCTTTTAATGAATGGATGAATGTGGCCATTAAATGGAATCCATTGTCCTGAAAGTCGAACTTAGATATAGAAGTTTGATTTTAGCTGTGAAACATGAATGAATTTTTTTTCTACCAGTCAGAAAACTTCTAGATGGTGACTAGGAATGTGATGATATTATTCTTACTAAAAATAGCTAGCATTATCCTATTTTTCAGTATTGATTTCATCAGGTGGTTATTTCTCAATTTGAATATGTCAGGGAGAAAGAAAATGAGTAGGTAAGAAGCAGCAAGAACAGCCCTGAAATGTGATGGAGCGACTTCTAAGTGATGCAGTAAAGAGAGTGCACATAGTAAACAGGCTTTTGTTTTAAAATTCTTCATCTTCAGCTGTTACTGAACAACAACTTATTTAGTGTAAAAGGATAACACTAAATTTGGGTTGAGGAGGAGGATTTTTTTATGGTGTGGTTAACCTTACAGCCAGTCATATGTGGGGTTTTTTCTTCTTTTTTTTCCTCATTTTGGTCTTTTCAGCTTTTTCTGATCATCAGATTTGATAAAAATTAAGCTATTATATAGGTAAACCCAAAACGTTTATTCTTATAAAAAGAAACAACCCAGAAATTCCCTTGCAAACCTTCCTAGAAGGCAAGGATTTGCATTTTATCACTTTATTAACTTTATGTATTGAAGACTTTCCTCTTAGGGTGTAATATTAAATAAGTAATGCAAATAACAGAATCACTAGAAAAACAGCTGGTGAGGATCTCCATGTAGAGCCAAATACACCTATGTCTTTTAAGTCCATTATTTCTTTTTCAGCATCCCATCCAGTATTTGAAAATATTTGTCTCTCCTCAGCAATCTTTTCTTTAAACAAAACAGCTCTAACTCTATCCTCATTAATTGTATTTTCTGTTAATTCTTTTTTCTTTACCTTCTATTATACCTAAAGTGTGTGTGTATATATATGTATCGAATTTTTCTCTGAAGTTCCTGTCTTTGCCTTCTTATTTTTTTTTTTTTTTTTTTTTGTAAAGCACAAACTATTGTTAATTCATATTTAGATTGTTGTAGGCTGTGTTTTTATGCAGAATTGCAACCTCAACAGTTGTTATTATCCATTATCTGAGCAGTTAATTGTTCTTGGCTAAGCACAGAATCTTCCACTTGGTTCTCATTGAACTAAATCTCCATTTTTCCCCAGGCTGCTTCTCCAATTTGTCAAATTCATTTTGTATTCTAATTTTGTTCTGTAATGTGCTTACAGCCCCCTCCTATCAACCTGTCAACCCTCCCACCAGAAAGCCTGTAAGCACATTGTAAATTTAATAAGTGTAATCTTCATTTCATCACCCAGGTTGCTAGCTGAAGGCCTGGAAGGGTACTGGGAGCAGTGTGTACCACTGTGGTCTGATGCATCCTTC